TCAGCTAATTAATTACTAGATATTAATAACACGCGCACTCTTAATATAAGCATAGCAATATCCTCATACTTAATTCTTACGTTAACATTGCGATCTAGACTCATTTTGACGTGTTATTAGATAAAATTGGTACTAACATGGGTGTTTACTCTATCATTATACCCTTTTTCTTAAAGACGAAGAAACATCAAGCCTAATTACTTACAGTTTTTAAATAATATTACGTAATATTAGGTAATAAAAACAAGTAAAGCTAAATAATTATCATTAAATCATCTTGTCCTTGCATCATGTTCTTCAGGGATCATCATGGGCGGAACGTCATCTGCAAAATTTCGAATAGGCAGCTTGGTAAATAGGAATAGAAAAGAGAAGTTGTCACATCACGTTGCCATGGTAGCACATTTTCTGGATGACAACAAAACAAAAACGTCACTTAAAACGTTAATTCGCACTGTTTCATACTTCATCGACATTCTTCATTTACTTTGTCAAATGTTGGCGAAATTTTCTGGAGTTGCATCCGAAAGTTAAGAAAAAGAAAAAGAAAATTTTGTGTTGTGTTCACCTACTCCAGAAAGAAGGCACATAAAATTAGGAAGTTTTGTGTCACAGTTGTGCAACGACTGTTACGAAATCTACAAGAGTGTGATGCACGTGCAGCATTGCTGTTTTGCTATTACTCTTTCGCTGTTTCTTGTTGGCTTCGCCGTCGTCGTTGGTTTAGCTCTCTAACATTGTGATCCAGAAATTCTGCTACCATGGTACTGTGATGTCACACTTCTTCTCTGTATCGCTTTAATTTTAAGGAAACAGGACTGATTTTTAAAACTTAACGTTTAATGGGCATAAATTGAAGTATTTTCCACAGTGAGCACATTTGCAAAAATTGGCCGACCCCTGCCACATGTTCCCCCAAAATGCTCTGATCCCATATGGCAGGTAGGATCACAACCATCACTAATTTGTCATTTTCATACATCATTCAAAACCTTTCCAAGGCCAATTATATAGAGAGAGGAGCAAGGGTGGTGCAGTGGTGAGAGCACTTGATCTCCTCCCACCATTGTGGCCCAAGTTCAAATCCTGGTGTCAACACCGCATGTGGGTTGAGTTTGTTGTTGGTGCTACTCCAGTTTTCCCCTACTCTCAAAAACCATCATCTTCAAAATTTTAATTCAACCAGGAAATCAAGTAGATGAAGAACCACTTAGTAGATGTGCTACCTCTAAACTATAATTTATTTATATACTTATTTATCGAAAAGTTTCAATGTTCTGAAGATTGTTCTGGTTGATGATCTCCTGGACCCTAACTTTTATGAAATAGTTAGGATCCCGCCCGGTACAAATGAGAGCTTTGAACAGTCAGGAAATTTCACAGAAGAGTTTGTGGGATTCAGTGGGGAAGCCTAAACCACTTTTTGCTAGCATACTATGTAGCTGCTCTACTGATTGTGGAGATTTCTCTTGCTATTTTTTTTACAAACGTGTGCCAAACGACTTTCAAATCCTTTAGATTGCTAATTAAAGTAATGTAACGATCACTGACATCATAAAGGAAATCACCTATGACACTGCTAAGATACTTTCATATTCCAGTACCTAATTAAGGACCTGGGCTGGATTGTTCAAAGCAGGGTTAGTGCAAAGTTTTAAATCAGATATGAAAGCTTACAAACAAAATTCAGTTTAATTCTTTTTGCCTGCAATGTAGTGATTTGGTGCTCCGTAAGGAACAGAGAAAATTATCCGAGAAAATGCTTTTGAACAGAAGAGTAAGAAACCCAGATTAACATAACTTTAATCCCGGGTTAGCGCTAATCGGTTTTCCAACAACTGGGCCCTGATGACATTACCTACTGTTTTCTTTGATAATTTCTTGCCATCAGTCATCTGATCCTTCCTCTTTTCCTGAAAATAGACAAATACATATACCAGTAAATTCTTTAAACCATTTTATACAACTCCACAAATTTGAACTGATCGAGCTGCCCAAGTTGAGCCATGTCCCCTCTTTCTGCTCGTGGTGTCATCAGTTTTAATAAGTATATACCCAATTAAAGGAGAATTTGTCTAAACTCATGTAGGGGTAAGATATTTTTCAAACCATACCAGAATATAAGCACAGTTAAGTCAAAGAGCCCGGAGAAAAATACAGATAACCATGAGTAGACTTCAAAATTTTGATAAAAGTCTTGTTTTAACTGGTTACCTGAGTGTATCTTAATCTTCCATTTAATCATATGATTACGATGCACTGTCAGATGAAAACTGTGCAGTCTAGAAGCTTTCCCAAAAACTTTTCCCAGGGCTAATTAATTTGCAGCAAAAGAAAACAAAAACAGGGCAAGAAAAGCAAGAGAATATAAGAGGAGATCGAAAGAGCAAAAGGTTAGTGTAACTTTTAAACCCAAAAGCTATTTCAACATTTTGCTTTCTATTCACGAGCTTTACGGTTTTAATTGGGCATGAGTTAAACTCTTGAAAAACTCCTATGACTCAAAAATCCACCTGCAACTGCATTAATTCTAAACCAGAGTTCCATGCCTCAATCTCATTTAACATAATTATCTAAAATATATTAACTGTCAAATCTCTTGTAAGGCACCACCTTGCAAATTTTGATAAGTGGTCTTAACTAGAGCTGGTTGTTTTTGTGTTTACAGAAAGTTAATAATGTGAACAACTATTGCAAAAGGCCTATTATCCATTAATTTGATCCCTTTCTCTTGACTCACCACTTGCGTTAAAGGTTGCACGATTGTGTCCTTGTATCCTCCTCATGCCGAACATACCTGTAATTCTTTAAGAACATTGCAAACATAGCAGAAAGGAATAATATACATAAATATAATTTTTAAGACAAAAATGCATGCATGGTTAACAATATAATTTAATGTGCAAGTTACAAAATAAACCAATCATTTAAGCTTTACCACAGACTCGCGCAGTTGGGCATTTGCGCTCACACACTCTCTCGCTCTCTCTCTCTCTCTCTCGCACATGCCTCTCTCCCTCTCTCTCTCGCACATGCCTCTCTCCCTCTCTCTCTCGAATGCAGGACACTTAAACACATTGGCACTGCCAACACAAACACTCTCCCTCTCCCTCTCTCACATGCAAGACACTTAAACACATTGGCACTGTCAACACAAACAATACATAAATGTAGAATTAAGAAAGAGATAATAAAGAGAGCTCAATTTGAGACTGAAATAGAGGGTCAAGAATAGAAAAAGAATAGAAGGTCAAGATGCTTGATCGAGGCAAAAGAATAGAAGGTCAAGATGCTTGATCGAGGCAAAAGAATAGAAGGTCAAGATGCTTGATCGAGGTAAAAGAATAGAGGGTCAAGATGCTAGATCAAGGCAAAAAAGAAGTGCAAGACTCGTACAAAAAACTGAGGACTCGTGTGAGTGAGCGGCATTGAGGAGAGTTGACAATAGACAGGATACCAAAGGAGGAACAGGATCGCGCAAAAATGTCATCGTGTGATGGTGGATTATATTAGACAGCTGTATAGTGTGTTATAAAGATCGGTGATGGGAATGTTTATGGATTTTTGATTAATATAATTAATGTGGTTATAGTCAGTAAAAAGTTAAATTGCGAGCTAATATCTAAAAATGTCCCATAATTATTAAAAATCAAGGTAATGTTTAAAATAATACAAGGTGATGTTTAGAATAATACAAAAATTTAAAATCAAGGCTAAGTACAAAAAGAATGCCTTGAAAGAGAAGTTCAAGACTCGTACAAAACACTGAGGACAGTGAGTAGTTCAGTAATGTTCTTGTGTGAGTGAGCAGCATTGAGGAGAGTTGATAATAGACAGCATATCAAAGGAGGAACAGGATCGGGCAAAAATGTCATTGTGTGATGGTGGATTATATTACACAGCTGTATAGTCTGTTATAAAGATCGATGATGGGAATGTTTGCTGGATTTTTGATTAACATAATTAATGTGGCTATAGTCAGTACAAAATTAATTAAATTGCAAGCTAATATCTAAAAATATCCCATAATTATTAAAAATCAAGATAATGTTTAAAATAATACAAGGTAATGTTTAGAATAACACAAAAATTTAAAATTAAGGCTAAGTACACAAAGAATGCCTTGAAAAGGGAGTTAAAGACGTTGGCCCTACATAAAGAAATCTCCCAAAAGAAATATCTAAAAATATCCCATAATTATTAAAAATCAAGGTAAAGTTTAAAATAATACATTTATGGTTAAAAATATCCACAACACATGTAAAAATAAGAGCATATTAAGAATAACCTAGAAAGATACTACAAGATATACATTTAAAACCGATCTTTTAAAAAGAACCCAAGTTCCCAGCTTTAAACATTTAAATCGAGAAATCAAGCATAAATGCATAATTATTGGCATGATTGTTTAAAAATTAGTGAATAAATAAAGATTAAGATATAAAAACACAGGTAGATATAAAAACTGGAATACAAAATATACAATAAATAAATACATTAATGGAAAATAATTTATAAAACTCAAATTGAATTTTAAGCAGTATTCAAAATATCAATGTACAGTAAATATTAGTTTTTCTTTTTAATCATTATTTATCTTTATTATAAATACTTAGTAACAGATGTAGTGCCAGCATATATATACTTTGTTAATAAATCATATACTTACTTACCTTCTTCATTACAATTAGTTGTTTACTTACTTACTTATTTACTTAATTAATTCATTGATTAATTAAAAAGCTATTTACTTATTTACTTACATAACTACTTACTTTTAATTACTGACTAACTTACTCACTACTGGACATAACTTGAGAAATGAGAAACATCAGACACGTTCACCTAGAAACAAAGACTAAACGAAAAAAAAATGCCATGCTGCACCTAATTATAAAAAGAAAACTTGTCACAAACCTGTAAGGAAGGAATAATTGGATCAGAACATAGCAGAAAAACAAACAACTCTAATTATTATTATCTTACATAACAAATAAATAAGCCAACAGTAGAACAACACTAGCGTACTCTCACCTTATACTTCAATGAATGTATTCAGTTATGGAAGAGTCGATCAACTGCCTTCAGAAGAAGAAGAAGATGAGATTAACCTACTAATAACACTTAAATTTCAGCACATGGGTGGACAGGTGGGCCATTCCACCTTCCTCCTTGGTACTGATCTAAAAATAAGTAAAGCAAGAATGTTTTCCTACAGTAATTTCATCTCTTATCACCTCTGTAAGGCAGTGTAAAGTGAAGAAATTAGGTATATAAAAATTGTTTTAAATGGTTAACTCCAAAAGGTTTTTGCGTTTTGAATGAATTTAAAAAGCTTTAATTTCCACATTTACAAAAAGAAATACAAGAACACTATAGCCTAATTCCCTGGGATCAAAAGTTTCACCATGCGGTCAATGTGTTTCCAATAGGCCATGCAACCGTTCACCTAAGTTACATTCACTACAATAATTTCACCATGTGGGTCTGGGGAAAGTCGCACAAGTGCAAAACAATAGCAACCTAAAAACAAACAGGATACCCAATATCTACAAATACATACTTGCAATGCATGGGAGACTTTGGAAGAACTGAACCACATTTACCAGCCACAAAAACAGAGCAAACACTTACAGCAATGAGGAACCACTGAACCAAAGTCCTGGTAGAACTAGAGCACCTAGCCCTTAACTATGGAACTGCAGAACCAAAACATTAAAAAAGAACTGCACATTACACAGACACACAATACATACACTGTACTTACAATACTGAGGAACCACCGAACCAAAGTCATGGAAGAACTAGAGAACCTAGCCCTTAACTATGGAACCGAAGAACCACAGCATTACAAAAAAAAATGCACATTACACAGGGACAAAATACATACAATGTACTTACAATACCGAGGAACCACCGAACCAAAGTCGTGGTAGAACTAGAGAACCTAGCCCTTAACTATGGAACCGCAGAACCACAACATTAAACACAGAACTGCACATTACACAGAGACACAATACATACACTGTACTTACAATACCGAGGAACCACCGAACCAAAGTCGTGGTAGAACTAGAGAACCTAGCCCTTAACTATGGAACCCCAGAACCACAACAATATACAAAGAACTGCAATAAATTACAGAGAGACACAATGCATACACTGTACTTACAATACCGAGGAACCACCGAACCAAAGTCGTGGTAGAACTAGAGAACCTAGCCCTTAACTATGGAACTGCAGAACCACAACATTAAACACAGAACTGCACATTACACAGAGACACAATACATAAACTGTACTTACAATACCGAGGAACCACCGAACCAAAGTCGTGGTAGAACTAGAGAACCTAGCCCTTAACTATGGAACCGCAGAACCACAAAATTAAAAAAGAACTGCACATTACACAGAAAAACAATACATACACTGTACTTACGATACTCAGGAACCACCGAACCAAAGTCGTGGTAGAACTAGAGAACCTAGCCCTTAACTATGGAACTGCAGAACCACAACATTATAAAAAGAACCGCACATTAAAGAGACACAATACATACACTGTACTTACGATACTGAGGAACCACCGAACCAAAGTCGTGGTAGAACTAGAGCACCTAGCCCTTAACTATGGAACCGCAGAACCACAACATTATACAAAGAACTGCACATTACACAGAGACACAATACATACACTGTACTTACAATACCGAGGAACCACCGAACGAAAGTCGTGGTAGAACTAGAGAACCTAGCCCTTAACTATGGAACCGCAGAACCACAAAATTAAAAAAGAACTGCATATTACACAGAAAAACAATACATACATTGTACTTACGATACTGAGGAACCACCGAACCAAA